CAGCCCACATCCGCACCCTCCCCCTCGCCCATCCGCACCCTCCCCCTTCGCGAGGTACCTACACACATAACCAAAATACCATATTCCAGATTACGAAGGGCTCACACCGCCCCTCGAGCTCCCGGACCCTTAACCCTAACGCTAACTAGGCTAACTAACCCTAATAACTAATCCTAACGCATTTGCGCATTTTTCCCATTTTATTTAAATAAGATATCGTGGATTTATGGTGTTTTGCTACGATGTATCTTTTTGCGTGGCTTGAGTGCAGCTAAGCCTGTGGTAGTGGGGCTAAGTGGATTTTAACCTGTGGCTTGTCCTGTGCACAGACGTTTTTTGTATGCAAAAGTGGAGGGGGAGGGCGCGGATGGGCGAGGGGGAGGGTGCGGATGTGGCCTGAATATGATGGGCGCTCTCAGGATCTGCTCCTCCAAAGTGGCGCCGGCTAGGCCTTGCCTGCGAGCTGCAGGCTTCAGGGTGATGTGCCATTCAGCAGCAGCAGGTGGACAAACAGACAAGTCTTATCATAATTTTTTGGCCCTCCAGCGCTCGACCTGCAGAAACCTGCAGGACAATGTGGTGTTGTTGTCTCGTTGCCCGGGGCCCCGTCGGCCCAGCGAAGGGAAACACCCTTGAAACGATGCCACTGGACGGTTCGAGGCAGGAGAAGCAATGCAAAGTGGAAAAGAAAAAGCAAAAAACAACCAGAGAGATATGGATCTCATTTTGCCTGTCTCTTCCGGGAACATGGACCATCCTCGCAAGGGGCCGTGAAACAAGTCTTGATCCGGCTTGTTGCCTATCTTTTTTGAGCGCCGCGAAGCGGCAAGGAGTCGTGGGTGAGTGCAAAAATGGGCACCGTGGTCCTCTTTCCCTCCCCTCCATGATCCATCTCCATGCCCAGAAGAGGAAATCGGCATAATTTGAGACTGACAGGTTTGAACCGGGTTTGCTGGGTCAGGGGTGTGGGTGGGACGACGCCAGGAACCGAGAAGCGCTGGGCCCAGCAATTGGATGGGATATGACCCTGCCCAGAGCAAGCAAGGAACGACAGGCACACGCTGCTAGCAGCAGTTAGTAGCCAGTTCAGGCCCGCCAAACCAGGCACATTCAAAGCACAGGCTCTCTTCTCTCAGGCTGGCCGGCACTGAAGTGGATTTGCAGATTTGCGGGCTGAAATTGAGTGCATTTCACGGTTAAGCGGTACTTATGTGAGACGCAGATTGATACTGGGGTTTCAAGTAACTGGCCAACTGCCCATCGCAGAATTGCCGCCCGGATGCTGGTCAATTGTCTGTTCTCTTGTGACGAAGCCAGATGGTTACGCGTGTCCTGCTACCACCACTCCATATTGCAACTTTTTTTGCTGTAAGCACATAATGAATTGGCTTACTTGAACGCCAGCTCCTGAATTGTTGTTACGCAGACATATGGTGCAGTGCATGGCTGCTGCAAAGTGAAAGTACAGTGCCACTTTCAACGGCTTGTGGCAGATGTAACATACATACCTATCCACTCTCTCAGCTCTATGCAGTATACCAAACTCAAAAGACTCAGAAGAGCATCAACATTGAGATATGACTTGCTGCAATCACCCCGGTGATGGATGTTGTGCTGCAAGAATCCCACGTCCAAACAGTCTGAATCGTGGGGTTCTTGGTCAACACTCATGGTACATATTGCATCTATCTGTCTCTACTACTATCTATTCGTGCGCTACACCATGTACTATGTATGCGAGAGGGGGAAAACCGACCAAGTGTCGCCCCGTCCAACCCGTGGTCTAAGCGATCCCGCGATTTCGTCCGAAAGATCTTGTCGATCAAGTGTCCTTGCAATCTTCCGACAAAGATAGGACTACTACTACATTACCATGGTAAATACCTACATAAGACCTCCACTGCCCTTCCTTCAGGTACAGCTGGCCTGCACAAAGTCATGAGGTCACAATCTCTCGTATACTTGGTCACAACCAAGAAACCAAGCTGTTATGTTTCCATATTTAAACACGACCGTCGATAGTGGTTATATAGACATTTCCGCACGTAGTAATATTGGTCAGGTACAGCTTGTTAAGATTATTACCTGGAGATTGATGGTCAGGGGGGAAGAAGCAGGGGGGCTACTGGGCATTGGGATGGGTTGGGGAGGTTGTGACGGCGCATTTCTCTTGGGACACGGACGTTACTCAGGTCCAAAGTGAGTGCACACATCATAATCAAACACTAACAGAAGCGACCTGGACGGAATATTGGGGGCCTGTTGATTCGTCGATAGTCGCATGTCTGATTTGGCACTGGGAAATTGTGCACGACAAGAAGCCGAGATGAGGGCCTCGAGTGGGCATTTTATTCTTGGGCTAGTGCTGTTGGATACTTATTACTGCTGCTACTGCTACTGCTACTACTACGACGTTAGGCGCCTGGCGTCTTCCCCAGGTAGGTGGCTGGGTTTGTGCGTGCGTGTGTGCATTGCGTTTCCTTTTCGGTTACGCCTTTGCAGATACTAAGGCAGGCACACAGCAAAGATGCTTGGACGGACGCAAGCAGGCCAAAGTCTCCTGCGCTGTGGAAGTCTTTTGAGAGAGGGTGCTAAGGCAGGTGGTCGAAATGGTTACGCTGCATCCATCTATCAAGAAGCGACGGGGCAGAACTCTGTGCCGAGGAAGGGCAAAGTAGAGTTTGCAAGTTCTGATGATGCTTACTAGGTTAGGCCGTTTGCCTTGTGCGATTAGCTGAGAAACGAAGACATGATCAATTGAATCAATCGAGACCAAGGTCTCTTTTCTTCTTTTTCCTCGAGCTGAACAACACAAGAGACACTGCCGGGTTGTCGTGTGAATTGTCGTGAACGTCCACCTGCTCTTGACACCTCCAGCCCTCACTCACCCTCCTCTTCTCGTTGCCAGGCCCCCGCCTGCTGTCTGCGGTACCTTGTCCACCTCCATGGATAGACGAACAGGGGCCCCACTGTACTAAGACTGGGACTAGTTAGCGGGAAAAGCCCAGAAACCCGAATGCTCCAGCGCTCCCACTTACTTCCCACTCGCTCCAGGTCCCAGTCAACCAGTTCCCCCAGCGCACGCGCGCCCATTCGGTATCAGCGTGTGTGTTGGTGCTCTTTCCTCCTCAACTTTGGCCGGCCCTCTGCTCTACTCTGCTCCCTCCTCCATCTCCAAACTCACCTTCTTCCTCCACCTCTCCATCTTAGAAGGCTTCAACCCTCAACCTCACCCTTGGCTTCAATTCCGGTCGCAAGTCTTCTCGCAGCAGAGATTTGCCCTGGTCTTGGCCGTCCGCTCCTTTTTCCTCTTTTCGGTCGGAATCATCATCTTCTTTTTTTTTCCCTTTTCTGATCCGAATTTACTTTACTAGCATTTTGCCCGTTATTTATTATTGGCCTGCATTTCTCTTGCGCCCGTACTTTCACGACATCGGTAGGCGGGAAACAGCAACGCAACGAAACGCTGCAACGATAATTGTCACGGGCGACAAGAAACAACACAACACATTTTTTACGCAGCCCTTCCGAGTCCCAAAATCCCAAAAGTTATAGTCGACTCAGCCATTCGCTCACGAGGTAATACCAGTCATTCGCTTCGTCGTCATACAGCCATTTTCACCCCTCCGTCTGCGACACTTTTCATCCTTTGCCTGCCGCATCCAACCCAGCAGCAAGCCGCAGTTTCACTCTCATTTTGTGCCATTCAAAATTCTGCCACCATTCTTCGCCTGCCGCAGCCCCGAGAGACAACCTAACAATACCATAGGAAGCGAATAGCAAACATTCCGACCTTTTTCACAGACGACCGGGATTCATCTATGATATCCCACCGCTTCTAGGCGCTTGTCCAATTTGTGCCGCAGTGCGGCCTCGCAGGAACATGGCAACCGCTTGTGCAACAACTGGCGGTCCAGGAGGAGATTCCACCATGACAACAATTGGTGGCGTGGGCATGGACAGAAATGGGCCCCGAAGACGGCATCTCTCGATACCTGAGCCTATACGGATTGAGGCACCGTCCGACGACCAAAGTCCTTATTCTATCTCGACGCCTTCGCCTCGCTCAAGACTTCCGCCTCCGAACCCTCCTTTTGTCTTTCCTGCCCGGCATTCGGTATCTTCAGCACCATCCTCGCTTTCTCGAGCAAGTGGTCAGCGTCCGAAATCTGTCGTGGGTCTGCAGAATGAGCAGATGAGTACGGGCAGCCTTGGTGCATCGAGCGCCCGCCCGCGACGTTCACCTGCATTACCAGCTTTCAGTTTCAACCCTGGTGCCAGTCTAGCTGCCGAGGATGCCGATGACGACTCATCACAAAAACCGCTTCCTCTCCCAGAGTTCAGCTTTAATCCTGGTGCTTCCATTGATTCATCATTTGCCATGATGAGCCCACCGCGCTCACCTGCATCACCACATCTGGCTCCGAATCGCGGCAGTCATAGACGAGGTGGCAGCGAATTCGTGGGTGGAAAACTCAGAGAAGGCGACACCATCACAGTAATGAACAATGGCAGCCCTACTAGGTCCGAGAACGGTTTCGCGTCCCCTGCCCTGCAACCTGTTGACGCCACCGCACGAAGGGGTAGGCACCAGCATCGTCGGTCTGCCGCTATTTCGAGCCACGATCTATCTATGATACTGAAGCCGCCAACCAGCCCGCTTCCCTCGCGAGGTAACAGCGCTCCAACCAGTCCGGCCGACTTTGACAACAAAATGAAGCCGCCGTTCGCTGGACCAGAAGAGAGTACGCCAACAGAGTCGCCACAACTAGTGGCCACTACAGAGCCGTCAGTGGATGCAATCGAAACACCCATTGACGCCAACAATAGCACAGAATCAAGCCCAAGTCCGAAACCTGCACGGGCAAAGGTTGGATTTTCGGATACACTCGAGTACATTCCCAGACCACTCTCCATGGTTTCGACCGATACCTCCAGTACGATTACCGGCCATCCTGGCCATTCTGTATCTAATAGCATCTCTTCCATCATTTCCCTCGGAAACTCAACCATAGCGGACCGGGAGCGCCCTGGTGTCCTTTCCCCTTCGCTACCAATGAAACAAAGTGAACACCGGCCAAGCACTGCAGGTCCTGTGCTCGAACGCACCCCTAGCCTGCTTACTTCATTCCCATTCGATGACAATCAGTCGTCACCTCGCAGACGAAACTCGATCCCACTGCTGCCTATCATCACCATGGAAGAGCCTTCGTCACCAACACCTTCAAGCCCCACAAAGATACCGAAACGCTGGTCTTTCTTTGGACTGGATCCTTTTGCTTCTAGCTCACCAGGAAAACAGCGACCTCTCAGTTCGAGTTCCTTTGAAATAGGGCCGAAGACGATTGATGCTCGTAGCGGAGCAGAGAGCGAGATGAATTTTGATGATGAAAGTGAGGCACATTCTCCGACCAAAAAATCATCGGGCAAAAAGAAGAAGAAGCAGAAGAAGGTCAAGTCTTGGGCCGGCTCTCTGTTGCCTCGCAAACCCAAGTCCCGGTCTGGAAAGGCAAAGTCCGACTCCTCACGCGCACCGACTCCGCCTCCTTCGAGCGAGCAGTTGAGTGCTGCCATGTATGAGGATGGACTGGACATTACCGGGCCGTTCACAGCACCCATGGTCATGGTCACTCAGCCCGCCGACTCTTCACTGCGAGTGCCCTCGCCAAATAAGCCTCGACGAAAGTCTGAGGATGATGCGTCGTATCCCATGATTGACCTGGACGCTGCCCTTGGCCCGTTTAACACACCCTCGGGCCGCGATCCGGCTTGGGATGCTGCTCAGAGAAAAGGTGCTCCACCAAAACGACAATTACACAGCGCAGCAGGAATGCGAGGCTTCTCGGGTCCTGGTATGCATTATCATCGCCGAGCTGAGAGCGCCCCGGAGATGCCTCCCTTCGAAGGCAAATTTGGCATCCACAGGTTTGGCAGTTCTTCCACCATGGCTGATGTTTTTGAGGAAGAGGAAGAGGATGATGACGAGGACTCCGGTACGGATACTCCATCACAAGCATCTACTCCAGGAGCCAGCACCACATCTGGAGCCCAATTCGAAGCACGATCAACCAGTGACGGATCCGCCACTACGCCAACTCAGGAAATAGATTTTGCCAGGAAGGGCTCGACAGGGTCGATTCCGGCGGCACCGTCGATCAAGCGAAAGGGCAGCGGATCAAGCTTGGAATTGCAACCCCCCGGGTCGAGAGTCCGCACTGAGGCTTCAATCAGCTCCCTACACGATGAGGTCATCGCTGAGGAATTCCCCGTGCAGCATACTGCAGTCGACCAAGAACGAATTTACGAACCATATCACGAATCAGATTCTGTTGCGCCATCACCACGCAGGGTCTTTCCAGGCAAGGACCTGGCTCCAGTTGAAATTCACCCAATCAGCCTCCCTGGACCTATGGCAGGCATGAGTCCGTACTCAATGAGCCACTCTTCTTCATTTCCCTCGCCACGCTCGCCAATGTCGTGCGATGCTCATCGTGTTTCGACTGCGCCATCGTCTGTGACGGAGGAAACCAACTTTCAGAGTCTACTTATGGGTGAACCAGGCCCAGAGGTTGTCCGCATTTCTGTCGACGTTCCTTCATTGACAGATAGTACATCAACGATGACACGCGAAAGTAACTTTCCCGGAGTGCAGAGTAACTTTCCCGGTGTGAGACCACGCAATAGGCCATTTCACGAACAACGGCCCGCTTCATTCACGGCGTCCGCCTTTGGGCGTCGAAGATCCAGTCTGGCCAGTCTCAGTCGTTTGATCAGTACATCACATGGCGAGCGAAGCAAGCTGAGCATGGAGGTTCCCCTCGACGAACCTGAAAAGAAAACCAAAGTCAGCATAGCCAAGAGGCTCAGCCGAATGGTCAACTTCCGGAGGCCAAAGGAGTCGCCAGCATCTTAGGGAGTGCTCAGAACTTGCCTACGGACTTTTGCCGTGCATAAAAGAAGGCTTTCGAGGGATTTGGAACGCAGCAGCAAAGAGAAAAGGCCATTGCTACAGTAATTGCCAGCTTGGCAGATCACTTTTGGTGAAGCCATGGGCTTTAGTTCTCATTTCTCGGATTCGAGGAGGACCCGTGCATCGTCATTCAATCCATCAATCGACAAGGCAATTAAATTTCTGATACAGCCCCCTGCGAGCTGGTGGTCACTAAACCTGCCTTCAAATCAATTCTAATGACTCGCGTATAATTCTACGATTTCGTTAGATCTTCTACGAGACTTGCTGCTACATTGCACATATTTTTGGGCGTTTTACGAGAGCATGAAAGAGAAAGTCAACTATAGCATCATGATAGGCATGACGTCTCCTGTCAAAAGCAAGAAAACATGGGGAGATCCTACTGCGTACTGTACTTTTTTTTTGGGAAATGAGATGAAAATGGCATGGACCCCATGGTTTGGAGGAGAGCAGATCACCCCCCAAGGAGATTGCGGTAGAAATACCCAAGGAAGACTTGGATCGAAACCCCCACTCCTTCTGCAGAAGCGATGGAGGGCCTCGACTTCTGGGATAAAAGCATACATACACCATGATGCTACATGTAGACGTATAATAATGAAGACTTTTTTTGATAAAAATGACTCTCTAATGCAAATAAAATGAGTGCTATGATGTATTGTAATGAGAAGCTTGTATGGAGACTATCGCCAATCTATCATTTGACATAGACCGAACAGCAGTCTGAGCTCGCGTGGTCAGTGCCACATTCAGGCGATTTGGAGCTGCGTTTGCAATACGAAATAACGAAGGCAGCTTTCTTCATGGATTGACTTTCTTTTTTCTTTCTTCTCAATCTGATTAAGTTTACGACGATATGCCGCCTGTGACAGCCCAGATGTCGCCCTTCTAAAGTGGGTGAATTTCCCATGTCAAGGTGAAAACGGATGAGCTTTGTATGTCAAGATAGACCGAGGTTATGGGAGCGTGCTTGATTGATTGGTTATTACGTGAGAGACGTGAACATATTTGCTACATCCTAGTTCACGTCCATCCCTCTTGCTTGCATGATCCGGCAGTTGTGTGCCACCGAATCACGTTGCTTCGTCTGCTGTTAATACTCATGAATGACAGACATCCTGATGTTATCCTCGATTTGTTGCCCAATAACTAGTAGAGGCCCCCTTGCTGCATTTATAGGGAAGTGGATGGAGGATTGTTGATGGCAAGCTCCCGAGGTATCCCCTCGCGTCGTATCTCATGCGCTCTTAGAATTTGTTGCAGCGAGACGGGTCGGAGGACCTTGGACATTCCTAGAAAGCAGATTGCATCGGCGTGAGAATGAATATTGGCCGTCTCATCCACGAACTCGTGAACCCGGAAATCCGGAGTATGGCCGTGGGCGCGGGCCACGGACTCCCAGCCTTTAATCACACAGGAATCCAAGGTGAGTCTCCAGGTGGCTTTCCAGCTGATTCTTGTATAACCGTGTTCATCGACCCGGTAGCTGAAGAGGGCAGCCGATCCGACGCGTCCGTGCCAGACTTCAAATGTCCTGAGCTTTGGCATGCGCGACAGAGCAGTTGATGCTACTGCCTGAAGCATGGTGTTCACCGTACCGGGATTTGATTGAGCATCCAGCAGGGTCGATGTAAGCGTCAAAGATTGTAGGTGAGGCCACTTCCAGCCCGGCTCTACAGCCTGGAGAAAATGGTCTGCGCCAGTGACGAAGGATGCCGAAAGATGCTCCAACTCCAGGCTAGCCTTGAAGAGTGCCCGAGTGACTTTCAAGCAGACCTCTCGCATTCTTTGGCAGCGTTTAAAGGCCAAGGCATACTGCTCGTCAAAATTTTCAAACACGACCAGCTTCTTTAAACTCGTGGACATGGCGAGGGAATCGAAAAACGAGCAGTAAAGCTCGTCAGTATCTGCCTGTCTGCTGGGGTCCCAAGCTCTCCAAGGCTCGTAATAGAATTCCTCAATACTAGGAAGACGTGGTAGCATAGCAGCAAGCATCGACGGGCTCCATTGGCGGCGGTTCTGCAGACGTATGATCAAAGTCTTTACAGCTGGGACCTGGGGTAATCCGTTCCACCATTGATTCTCAACCCGGAGAAGGCCAGTAGTATCTATGGGGTTCGACTCGAACACTGTTCTAAGAGCCGAGGCCTTGGGAGCCGAAGTTAGTTTCCCATAAACCCAGCCATGTGCAGGGTCATTTGGTAACACAAAAGATGGCTGGCTGGGCGGCACGGGGAAATCGGGCTCAAATGAAAGATACTTGAACCAGTAATGTGAGTCGCTGGGTGAGTGGATCGTGAGATCCAGCTTCAAATCGCCCTGGGGATCCCACTCGCCGAGGGTCAAGAACAGGGCCCTGAATGCTTTTCGCAGGAGGCTCTCCTTCTTCCTTAGGCCATATGTCTCGAAAGTGCGCTGGCTCCTGTGACATGAGCATCCGTACTCTCTGAGTTCAAAGGTAAGCCAGATGCTCTTGACGAGAGCTTGTGCGCGGACCGTCATGGAACCGAGTTGGGGGACTCGAGAGAATGATAGTTTCACGTGCTGAAAATTGTGACGTTCAATAATGGCCCGCCATTGTTCTGATACGGTGGCGAAGCGAGCCAGGCTGCAGCCATCGTGGAGCAGAAAACGCAGGATATGCTCTTGAAGCTCTGTGGGAAGAGCTGCCCAGGACCCCTTCTGGCTTATTGTTGTTTTTGTCAAAGGCATGAAGCACTACTTGTCACGATGCGTATCTAGAATAAAGAATAAAAATAAAGAATACTTTACATATACGAAAAGAATGTGTAAACAAACAGACTCGACAAGCCCATCCTGTTTTGTCAACCGAAGGATGCCGCACTGCGATGTACACAGCCACACTGTGGCGAAACACCACTCAGGGGTTGAACAAGAGGAAATAATTGGAAAACTGGCATTGGAATGGGATTGATTGCCAAGAAGTGGGGGAAATTGCAAGATCAAGAAGATAAAGTATCAGACTGAAGAAGGGATCGAGGGTTCAATATTCGAAGAAGCTTCTATACAAATTGCCCATGGTAAGTCGACGTTGCTAGATGCTTATGGTTGCACAAACAATTCTTCTAATTACAATTTGAGTTGCTCCAGTGGGTTACGTTCCAGTCTTGTACATACTGAAATGCCTGAGTTCCTAGTACATAATTTTAGCAAAACAAGCTCACTTACGAGAGGTGCCGCGAAGCCAATGTTAGCAAAGTGACATTACAATACAATCATGGCGTATTCCATCTATGTGAAATCTTCCATGTCAACCCAAGATGGTCCGTACCTATCTAGTATTCGAAAAGCGAGAGCAGCACGACAGCGAGATCACGTATTGAATTAAATGTCCACTTCATGTGACGATGATATGCGCTTGTTGGTGCTATAATCGGGATTGGAAAGCGTGACTTATATGTCCATGCGCACTCAAGAGCTGGTTCCCACAAACACAACTAGTACTGCAGCATACGTCGCCGTAGCAGCCATGGTATCGGTATTTGACGCCCGGAACAGGATCGACAAGGCAATGGCAAAGAGTAAAACGGCGACCGAAACAGTAATTAAGCTCTTGGCCAGCGACACTTCGGGCAGGCGCATGACCAGCATGGGCACAACCAGCGAGCTTCCTCCGAGGAAGGCGACAAGGAATCGTGCCAGGCGATCGACGACGGGCGCGACCTCGGCCGGCGGCTGCTGCGCAAGGTACTCGTCGGTGCGGCGCCGCATCTCGCTCTTGGTGTATGTCATGGAGCACGGGAGGCGCCGCTTGAGAAAGTCCCGGAGCGGGTCCGAGGGGATGACGGAGTCGGATGGAAAGGACCGGTATCCGCCGGCCTCGGCGATCACGGTGCCAATCTCTGGAAAGGCTTGTTCGAGATCAAGCCGTTCATCGCGTGCCTGAGATCCAGTGATGGGCACGAGCTTGCTCATGTATTGATAGTCTCGGATGGCGTTTGCTATAAGACATTAGAGACAGATCAGGACATGTTTGCCTAGTAGGAGAACGTGCTGTAATCGTGCAGTAATTGCGTCAGCTGTCCGGGGTGCTCTTCGGTAAATTGATGCCTCTCCAAAGTCTTCTTCTTGCACATGGATAGACTGTTTTGTAGTCGTAGGATATTCTCCCTCTGCAAGCCGCGGAATGCTAGAAAGTGGAGCTCTCGTTTGTTCGAGTTCATGGAGAACTCAAACAGGCGTTGCTCATATGTAAGTTCATCTTTGATTGCACTCGAAATGAACTCTGCCTGAGGATCCATGTTGTTATTGTTAGACATTGGCCTTGAGACTGATCTTCAAGCAGTGCCTTGTAAGATTAACCTAGGTAGGTAACAACATTATAACCCAGCTGTTGGTCTTGGTTGTACAGACTCTGGATCAGCTGGAGCGGGGGGCCGTGTAACAATGATTGGGAACTAACTGGACATCAAACACTGCAACCCCTCCATTGGAGGACCTTTCAAGGCGAAAACAAATTCAGTGACACCCATTCTTAAGCATTTCCAGCTTATGACCCCCCGTGACCGTATCAACAGCACTGCAAGACACCTCAGCACTAGTTTGCAGATCTTCTTTGCAGATATCCTGTCAACACCCCGGGTCTTTCCCTTGTTTCGTATAGCACATCAGCGCCAGCAGTCGAATCAAGATATGGAAAATGAAGCACGTATCCCGCAGAAGGGATTCCTCGCAAACGACGACGATGCTGTCGCCATCAAACTCCCCCCTCATTATGAAGTGGATGGTTGGTTGGACGCTAGTCATTCACCAGAACCACTGATGCCGGTCGACGCTCTGCGTACCATAATCAACTCGTATCGAAAAGCGAGACTCATTCTCTACGAGACTGGCCGATTGCAGATGTCACCTCAGCAACGACTGACCAAAAGACGCATCAAATTGAAAGAAGACGCTTTGGTTCTGGACCAGACTCTCGCCGTACTAAATCGTGACCACCTTTACAAAGGAATCGGCCCGCCTGATAGAACTTTTTCCAAGTCGGACCACCAGGTTGCCTTGACTGCCATGAAAGATCAAGAAACAAAAAATAAGATAGGTAAGTCGTTTGTCAAATTTGATCATACGACATGAACAAGACCTATTTCATCAGAAACCTTGTTGACCGTACTATAGATGTGTTCATGAGAGTATGCCGCGGGGTCGAAAAGGACTTCCGAGACTCCATACTGACTGAGCTGAGGGACGGCATGATCGACACGAAGAAGGCGGTTGACCATAAAAGATTACACGAACAGCTGAAGACTTTGCACAATAGACTGCGACAAGCTCATTCGGAGGCTGACAATGCCATCAACGAAGTCACAGAGAGGCTCAGGGCAATGTAGTCTAGCGTCACGAAACACTGGACCTGATGAAGGCACCTGAGGCTTTGAACAAGCCAAGTATATTTGAATCAATTTGCTACAGAGCTGCTTCATGAGCTAACTTGATGTGTTGATTCTCACACTTACATTCATGTTCCACCGCAAGATTCGTCAATGCTCCTTGCATGGCGAACATGGGCACATCGGAGTGTGATGCGTCTAATGCACATATTTATACGAGATATAGCCTCTACGCCGTGATCAGCTTTAGAACCTTGGATCTGACCATGAACAGTCGGTTATTCTCCAATGAACATGCAGGTTTGAACTTCACACGCTGAACAAGCAAATGATCATAAATATACATAGTCGACATGCCCTTGCATTGTACTGCAATCTCATTGTCGACAATAGCGAATATCACATCACGCTCATCTCGTCCGAAGAATCCAGTGACCTTGTAGAGTGAATCATCCGTCCCAAAGATGTCAATAGATTGTAGGGTGAATAATCACTATTCCGATATCAAAGGGCAGTAGAGTGAATGTCATAATTTCGTCCCAAGTATGTCAAAAGGCAGCAGAGTGAATCATATTCCGTCCGAAGGGTGTCAGTAGACTGTATGGTGAATAATATATTCCGTCCCAAGGTTGTCAAAGAGCAATAGAGTGAATCACATTCCGTCCCAAGTCAAAGGTGATGTCTACAATCACAGCCATAGAATGATGGAAAGCTCCCGTGATGGCCGCAAAAGGAGACATCACGTAACTGGCTAATCGTCGTCTGGGCAAGGCTCCAGACGATTCCGTTTTCCACCTCGACGACGAGGATCGTGAGTAAACAAGCACTGGTCGTGTCGTGTGACTTCCCGTTTTGCTGCTTGCCCACCAAGAGCCCAATCGCCCGCGGCAACCATTCAGAAGCTGCGTGAGTCAGCTGCTTAAATAGTCCAGCAATTGTTCGTGGGGTCGTGGGACGGAACAAGCAAACCCACGATCTTTTGACCAACCTGGATGGTTACATTTGGACATTTCAAGAATCTCATCATCTCCTGAGCGTTGGCAGGTCGTTTACATTACTACCACTGCCCCCTTTCCCTTGACACTCTTGAAAAAGTCACGATACCTTCAACTCCTCTCTTTCTCTCTTCTCAGACTGAGTTCCACCAGAGCAACTCTTCCTCATTGTAAGAAATTATGGATGACAATCAGAACACCCGAGGCCAACGCCATCCCAAGCAGCCCTGGGGCGAACTCAAGCCTCAACTCAGCCCCCGAACCCGCGCAGTAACCTGCACCGATCCCGTCGTCATCGGCGAGTCCATCATCAACCGTTCCCGCCCCGATGGCTCTTCTCGCATCGCCCCCCTATTCGAGCAAGACGGTCGCATCAGCAGTCACTACCACGGCCTCGCCGCCAAGAAGGAGGATTTGCAGATTGGCAATGATGATGATGATGAAGATGACGATCCTTTTGTCGAGACCAACGAGAACATGATCATGAACAAGAACGAGGGCAGCATTACAGCTCCTGCAAACCGTAACCTCGTCTCTGCCGTCGCCGCTCCTTTCGTTGCAATCCATAGTGACGACGAGGACAAGAAGAATGATACCCTCTCCTTCGCCGGCCATCAGACTCATCTTTTGGACAACAATCATCATCACCACAAGGGGGCCAACAGTAATGCCATCATGAGCTCCATGGCCCGAGATCTACCCACCCAGTCCAAGCAGCAGGAGCAGCAGCAGCAGCAGCAGCACAAACAGCGGACCACCACCACCACCACCGCCAACACCACCGTCGTCAGCTCCACCGGCTCTCCTCAGCCCAAGATCCCCGGCCGCCGACGCAACCAGACCATGCCGACCGCCGCCACGTCTCCGTACCGCCATCACCGCCGCACAAACGCCATCTCCGTGGCCCGCCGCTTCTCGCTGCAGCAGCACCTCCGCGAGCACGGCCAGCCCCAGCAGATCGGCGAGGCCCAGGACGATGAGGACGAGACCAAGACCGACGACGACAAGGACGGCGAGAACAAGACGTCGTCGTCTCATGGCTCCTCCTCTCCCCCTCCTGCCTCTCCCTCCACCTCTCCCATGCCCGCTCCTGCCCCCGCCCCCCGCCGCCACCCCAGCCTCCCGCGTTCGGCCCCCATCGACATCGCCTCGCCCAAGTCTCCGGCCTCGAAGCGCGCCAATGCCGAGGCCATGGAGCTCAAGGAGGCCGCCCGCCGTCGTGACGGCGGTGGTCACAACTCGACTTTTTCGTCGAGTCAGTCTTCCCCCGGCGGCGGCGGCGACGGCGAGCCCATGGTGGTCGGCGACATGTCGCCGTGGGACACCGCTGCTCGCTCGCCTGCGCGAAAGTAGAAGAAATTGAGAGTCGTGGTTTAAAGTTTGTGGTTTTTATTTTGGTTTAAATTCCTAAAAAAAAAAAGGGAAAGAAAATAAAGGCGGTTGTTTCTAAGGGAAATTTTCTCCATTTCCCTTTTTCTTTACGCATTTTTTTTGTTTTAGCATAGTTTCGAGAAGACAATACAAATAATCACTGAAACCACAAGCTTACGGTAATATTCTGAGGTATTTCATTACTATCTTAGTTGTAGACTTGTTTGCTGTGAGCTGTAATATGTTGCCATGCTTAGCTAGCTGCTCCTGTGATTGATTACAAGCCGGAAGAGGTCTCCAATGATTCAATTCCAATTCGCTAATGCGGCCGTTACAAAATCCCAGAAATCCCCCGGTTGCAAATGTGCGCTGTTGCTGGATATGCGCCCAGTACAGTTTTTGAACGCCGCCGCTAAAGCAGATAAGATCCCAATGATTACTATAAAACGCAAGGAGGCGCCCCCTTATCCAAGGGAGGACCTTCCTATTATCATCCACTGGCAGATCCACACAGCCATCCATACCTGTTCCAACACACCAGTAAAGAGCCCTTACATGGCGGGAGCCAGAAAAAAAAAAGCAAATCTATAGTTCGTGTACATTAGAAGAACAAGGAGATTCGTAAAACTCATTTGTAAATCGTCTTCATGTTACTCATGCCGAGCTGAGCGACCAGACACGGACGACATTGGACTCACTCGCCGCGAGCTGTCGACAACTTCCGCGGTGCTGCCGAGGAGGTCAAGATCCTGATCAGAGGCTGGGTCGATCCGGCTAATGTTGTGCTGATGTACAACACCAAAGCTAGTAGGGCGCTCGTCGCTCCTATCGCCGCTCGTGGCAGCTGACGGGAGATCGCCCGTGGAAGAGCCAGACAGCCGCTTCTGCGAGTTGGATCGATCAAATGGGAAACTGGCTGTGGCCGCAGCATCCGGATGCAAGCCCCCTGATACTTCCAAAGGAGGCAGCAAGCTCAAGACAGGCTTCGTCATCTTGTCCGCAGTACTGTTACGTTTTGAACTTTTCCTCGGCACATCAGGAATGGGTTCAAGCTCGATTTCTCTGACTGTTTTCTGAGACAGCTGTCGGACCGTCTTGGTAGACTGCACTCGGCTCGGGAAGTTGAAGCTTTCGCCAGCATCGAGGTCAGGTAGTAACGGTGGTTCAGGTGCGACTCTGGTGATCTCACCCTCCTCAGATTCGGTTTCATCTTGAGATGCTCTTGCAGTCTCATCCACTTCTCTGTCCCCACTCTCGCTATTCTCTTGTCCCTGTGGCTCTGGCTTGGGTTGAGGCGAGTCCTCGTCGTCACTTTCGATTGGACCGTTGCGAAGTACACCCATGGCAACTGGGATGCCCTCAGGGGGTGCTTCTTCCTCCAGGTCTCCTCCTCTTGCCTTCATTGCTGGGGGCATTCGAGCGCTTCTGACAACCTCGAAGCCTTTGCCCTTTTCTTTGGTCTTTCCACCAAACAAGCTCTTGAACCATGAAGTAGCAGTCGACACCGGGCTGGTTGGATCTGCTGGTCCGGTGCCGAGTCGGCGGTTTGGAGCATCAGAGTTGAGCGCTGGGCCACGTACACCATAATAAAAGTCCACTTCTCTCGTGGAATAGTCGGCGCGGGGCGCAAAGACGGGCATGTATGAAGCCGGCGCCGGGGCAGGTCCGCCTGGAGGGACCGGACCTGCTTTCGAAGAGCCTATTCTATCAAAGTCTTGAGCATCCAGCTGACTAAGCCGCTTGTCCGCCAGATCAACGCTGCCAATAGATGCGCGACCCAGTCTTGGGGGAGAAGAGCCCATTTCATCGCCGGTATGTCGTCTTGCACGCGGAGGGCGGTAATACGGATCGGCCGCAGGCTGAGGACGTGTAGCTTGCCCAGGCGACGGTATAAAGGAGAAAGTACTAGCATCTGCTCCTGGAGTCGTTGGCGCAAACGTGCTGCCTCCTAACGGCCCTGAGAATCCATCCATACTTCTTCCGTCTAGAACGCTCGAGCTTCTTTGATTCAGTAAAATGCCCATACTACCGGCTGACTCGCTCCTCACGCGGCCATAGCCTCTGTTTTGGTTATGGTAAGTATCCAACATGCCCGAGGTGCTGAGCTGACTTTGTCGCGATGCCGCACCACGCCTAGACACGCGTCTCCTCAATTGACGAGCCCCAAAGATTTTCGACAGTCCACCCCGCGTCTGGCCGCGGACATCATCGCCACCTGCACCCAGCATGCGCGCAATGACCTCCACAATGGTCTGTAGGGAGTTGAGAAAGAACCCAAAAACAAGGACAAAGCCATGGAGCAATAGTATGACATATCCTACCCAGTCCTTGGCCGATTCTGTCAAGCCCATTGACGAAACAAAGGCAACCATCGGGAGCGTGGTAAGGAACCTGAAAAGCGAAAATCCAGTATGATAGGCGTTCATGTTGGTTGACGCGTTGAACGGCCGGAACGCCCAAATCGTGAGCATCTGAATAATTTCACAGACGGCCAGGATGACAATCTGCGCAACGCCGGAATTCTGTACCGCACCGATGGCGATTCCGCGCATGAAAGTAAGGATAATGGGAATCATGGCGAAAGGTGCCGCCTCATCCGAGTATGTGTTGTATAGTGGGCCATAGAGGAGCACAGTGGGAAGGTCGTCGAACAGAAGAGATCTCGGTTTTGTCGTAGCAATAAGGTACATCAGGTAAGATGCAAAAATGACAATCAGAGTAACCGTGACGGCGGCTAATACCACGAGGTAGGCAGGAGACTCGCTTGCAACGACGAGTTGAAAGGTCGATAGAGCAACGATTGGGAGCAAAAAGTAGTTGAAGACCAGGCGTACGATGATTCCGATGGAAAAGGGCATGTTCTTTTTGCGGTGATCCTCTTCAGAAGTCTTGTGAACGGACCTCCAAACCCAGCGGATGAAGAAGCCAAGCTGCACAGCGAATAACGAGGCAGCGATAATCACCAATAGCCATACGATCATGCCTGCCCATATATCCTCGACATCGGCCATGCCCACGAGTTGTGATATGACCTCGAGTCCGTAGGTTGCGTTGGTATTGTAAACTCCGTCCACGAGACTCTCCCAGGGATCGGCATGGGCCACGAAGCTCTCGTTGAACATGAGTGCTGCCCAAGCGCCATTACTGACAGCGGGTTGATAAAAGCCGGGGTAACTCAGCGAGAGGCCACCCGTCAAGGCAATGAACTGGATATACTGGAGACAATCGCCGAACCCAGGAGTCACCAGTCGAAGGAGGTCCAGATCCCGACCATAGTTGGACGACCAGTGGAAGATATCGTTTGCGCCCCAAGGACTGAAGACGGCGGCAAAGACGGTGGCAGCACCGACTAGCAAGAGAGCAAACATTGGCAAAAATCGCAAAAACCAAGCCACTCCTCCAAGGCTGGGAGTAACGACGGTCGAGATGCATCCAATGGTTAGGCCATCCTCATAATATATAATGAGCGTAGGGGCAAATGATGAAAAAGCATACGATGAGTCGAAGGCATGAGTGAGATTAAAATAAGGAAGACCATAAGGAAGCTCAGGATCACTAAAACAAGGACATGATGTTAGACCACCAAAATCATAAAAGGGTACCAGTCTATGGCAAAGTGTAAGTATACTCACGCAAGGTCATGGAAAACGGGCCCCAGAGGACAGGACCCGTTGTTGAGATTGTCGCAAAAGTTCTCGTTGGATAAATATGGAGTAAAGGTGGCTACGTCGACCTTGTTGTGTAGCGTCGTCAAGTTGGCAGCATTTGGCTTATTCTGGATCTTGCCAGCCAGAGCAAGAGTAGAGTCGTTCCAATCCGCGCTGTTCCACGCTGGTATATCCGAATCCCCCACCCGTCCTGTAACATTTCCCCAGACTGTAACGACAAGAGTGTGCACGTCGCCGTCTTGGTCGAAAACGGCGTCCACGAACTCGGGAACCCATTGCAGCTGCGTGCTGTTTGGGTCACTCAGGTGGGACGTCCATATATAGTCCTCTGACAGACAGTTATCGAAGGAGACCTGCACCGCTGATACAGCCTGAAGGTATAGCATAGAAGCTAGTAGATACCTCGACTTGGCCGGCGTACGAGAACGGGGACGAGTTCGAGGCCGACGTGTACAGGCGAACTGCGGCGCAACATGGTCGTCATTGTCGTCAACATCATGCGCCGACTCGTACTGGGGCAAGTGTTTCCTCCTGGCGCGTTGTTGAGCCGTGGCCGCGCTCGACATCCGCCAATCTATCGAAGATGGCAGCCCTCCATTTCTGCAGCATGGCGATTCGGTCACATTGGCTTGTGTCGGGTTGTCACGATGGACTGGCGCCGCAAAGGGTCGCATGGTTGTCGTCGAGTGGGCGTAGCTCTCAGTCTCTCTCTCCCTATCTTTCTCTATCACAAGTTTTTTTTTTCTTTCTTTCTTCCTTTGGAGAGGGGAGGGAGAGGTTGGACGCGATTCGGCGGAGGGTGGCTTAGACCCGCATCATGTTGGAAAACGACCCCCCTGGCGCGACTGTGGACATGCAGTAGAAGAGCAAAAGACAAGACAAACACAAAAAGGTTGAAGCGACGAAATTTGTTACAATGAAAAAAAGCAACCGATGGTCTCACGGGCGGAGGAGGCGCACACACATGCACAACAGTTTGGATTTTGGCAGCGAATGTGAGCTGTTGGTTTGCGTAATGGGTAGCAAAAAAGTAAGTAGTGGGCAGTAAAAGTAATAAGAAATGGTCAAGGTCCGTCCGTCCAGTCAGTCCCCGAGGGAAGGGAAAGGGGCCTGCGCGCGCGCGGGAAGAAGTGGATGGACTGGGGGCCTGGCTACTGGGATGATGGTCTGACTAGGAGTGGGCTGTGCTGGCGTCCATCTCTGTTTCCTGTCTGGCTTCTGGCTGGCTTGGCTGTAGGTTAGGTACTGTCTGTCACCCGGATCCCGTAGTGTGTGGTACTCGTCGGCACGCTCTAGCGTATCAGTGTAGCGCAATGGAGCGTTGTTGCGGTACGAGGCGGGACGGCCGCTACCTAAGGATATTATTATTGTCCTTGTTTCTGGCCGTGGGTCTTGTTGCTTGTACTATTTATTTCTTCTTCCCCTCCACGTTTGAAACCTGTAGAGTCAAGAGGAAACCGGTTTGTAGTGTGCTGCCAATATAAGGGCGTACGTAGTAGTCTTTCGGCAGTGTACAGTATATGGAGGAGCGGATTGGGAGGGGCGGCGATTGCTCAAAACCGTAGACGGAAAGTGAAAGCTTGGTTCCAATGTGCTCACTCTCTGTGCTATGGATTTGGGGACCTCCAGCTCCAATGACGCATATGCGAGGCACAAGTGGTAACGTTGACAGCTCAGCTAGGCAACGGTTAAAATAAGGTAGTGTGTGTCAACTGTTGTGCATCGGGGGGGAGAGAGAAGCAAGCCAAGACCAATATCTTCAGCAATGGAAAAGCAACAATTATGGCAATGAGATGGCTGTCAATCATTCAAACCAATTGATGGTAGCTGAGACGAATGTTTACCCAGCCGATTGATGCAAAGATTCCCAGAGGCAAGAAATATTGTTTCAATGCTCACGATAACGATGGGCAACACGACAGGGTTGTAGGGGCGGGCACGGGTAAATAAACAGCAGAAGAGGAGGGAAGAAAAAAAAAAGTTGGAGAAGAGAGCTGCTCCTCGCGTGGGATGCATTGAAGATCTGAGACCAGTGCGACCCAGGAGAGGAGTAAAGGAGGGTGCAGAACGGCGCCGTTTCGTTGAGATGGAGGGTGACCTTTTTGCTTGTATGGAGGGGAGGGAGGAGCGGAGAAGACGACCAGCGATCATTGTTCGTGTCGTGTCTCGTCAATGTCTTGCTTGTACCTCGCATTGGTGGTTGCGGCGGTTAAAACAGCACCTGCTTTTAGTTAAACGGCCCAAGATGGCGCTGATGCTAATAATAATCATCATCATCTTGATTCTATCATCATTCAGCTGATTACATACATAAGTTCAAGCATCTAGTATAGTGTAGCCACCCAGCTGGGAATGTTGATGTCAAGCCCGTCTCAAGGGCATCATTGGTCGGGCCCCTCCTTGCTGTATGTACTGTATGAACAGATAGGTAGGCAGTGTACTGATAGGGACAAGCAGAAAGAATGCAGATAGATCGACAGGAACAGGTGGATGATGTTTCGATTGGACAGGTTAGTTGTTCGTGATGTGGTTCATAGTCGCCCGCACATTGATTAAATCCATTGACTTGTTTGCCTCGCCTCATGACTTGTTGCAGCCATGTCATTTCTTATAAGCCATTTGTGCAATTGTATGTACTCTAATCATGGATTCAAGGTAATCAATCGCCTACTGTCAGTCTGTCCAAGTCAGATTGACGAGCTGCCAAACTCTAGTGATTGTCGCAGGGAAGTTGGAAAGAGGAAAAAAAAAGAAGAGAGACAGTGGGCCCGAGGTCCCCGCCCATAGCATCCAGGGAAGTAATGCACTGATGCATGCTTACCAGCCCAGGATCCGGATCTTGTCTTCTTGACCCGTCGATCCGTCTGATCCCCAAGCTTGCCAAGCTGGTGCCCACTGGGCTCGCTGGGGTGTACACCACTACACTGCCACGACGGCCATGTTGACGGATGCTACACACGTACATTGCGGTGGGAACGCGCACACGGAGATCCGCAGTACGTGGTAGCAGCGCTGTGGGTGGGCATTTGTGGGTGCGGCTTCTTTGCAGCTTTTTCTTGATCGTGTTGGACGACCGATCGAAAAACGAGAAGGGGAATTCTTACTCCTTCAAGGCAGCATTGATGTAGATCCTCTTTTATCCGCAGATTCCGGTTCGATCCTCATCTCCCGTCACGACTTTGTTGATTTCTAGTGTACAAAGTAATGTACGGGTAATGTACGAATACACAACGGGTAGTATGTATGTAGTACTACATTTATGTAGGCCATTTATTAGTGCGCTGCAGGTCTCAGAAGCATCAAGGAACATTTAAAAATTGGAGCTACCCTGAATGCTGCACGATGCAAGGTCCTAGCTTTTCTTTCAGCTTTTTTATGGCTGGTTCACCTCGTCGTCATCAAATAGAATAAAAAGAAAACCACGAGGAAACAGGGAGAAGAGCCTCTTCCCTGCCTTCTTATGATAATGCAACAGACTTGTCGAATGCATAATGGTAGAATTCATTGTGGAGGTACGCAGTATTGTACGAATTATACAAATGCAGCACATAGACTTGTTTTTCTTCTCTCTCGCGCTCCATCCACAACTGACACCTTTCTTGGCGGCAGTAACCATTATTAATAGTACTACTCTGTACGTATTTCTTTCCAACACCGCCATTTCCATGCCTGAATCGAGATTCTGCTAGACAAGTGTGCCAATCTTGAAGAACAAAAATAACAAGACCCTTTCTCCAATTTGTTCTTCAAAATCTCTTGGTGACCTTGACACCGAGCAGCTGTTCAGCATTCTTGTAAGCAATCTGATCCAGCTGCTCCGGGCTGACCAGACCGCTCGCCTCGAAATCCTTCATGAACTTGAGGCCATTCTCATTCTTGGCAAAGGGGTAGTCGACACTATACAAGATGTGGTCAATCGGGGTATTGCGCAGAATGGTGGCCATGGGGTCCACGCTCCAGACGCCGCTCGTCGTGATCCAGAGGTTGGCCGCGTAGACGTCGCGAAAGGGCCGGTCCCGCGCGCCCCAGCGTGGCGAGAGCTGCACGATGCGGTCCAGCATAAAAGGCAGCATCTCCCCCATGTGGCCGGCAATGATCTTGAGGCGAGGGAACCGGTCAAAGACGCCCGCGGCAAAGAGCCGCAAGATGTGCAGCGCCACGTCCGAGTGCCAACCCCAGCCCGACGCCGACAGGCTCAGCGTGGCCGACCGCGCAAAGTTGCCCGTGTACAGCAGGTCGAGCTGCTCCCCCGTCGGCCACGTCGGGTGCAGGTAGATGGGCACGTCGAGCTCCTGCGCCGCGGCCCACAGGGGCTCGTATTCCGCCCCGTCGTAGTAAGTGTTGCCGGACCTATTGTCGATGAGGGCGCCAACGAATCCGAGTTCCCTGATGCACCGTGTGAGCTCCTTGGCCGACGCGCCCGGGTCTGTTACTGGCAAGACAGCAAAGCCTGCGAAACGGTCGGGCTGCGCCTTGACGGCGGCCGCGAGCTGGTCGTTGGCGGCTTTGCATTGCTCTGCCTGCAGCGGTCCAGGGCCATGTGAAATAACTTGAATTGAGACATTGTTCTCATTCATGGACTGCAATCGTATAGGACCGAGGTCCGAAAGCTTTGCTGCCAGCTCAGGGATATTCCCCACCTGCTCCGAGTAGAGAGCTTTAACATCATCACCGGCGCTATCGGACAGGAAATGCTCCTCCAGCGTGATCAAGGGTGGCGTCATGATGAGATGTGATTATCGCAGCGACTTGAAAGGTAATAGAACTGGCAGTAATGGACTCCAAGTCAATAGAAGTTGCCCATTGTTTTGTTGTTCCTCTGCCAAATGTTAATGAGCAGGTGTCGGAGCCCCGGCAAAAGGAAACCTTCCTTTGGCACTAACCTAGAGCTGAATGCGGTGTCACAGACGGGCAGCTCAATTGGTTCCAGTCGTGGATACCTTGCATCATCCAAAGTTGAAACATGCAAGTACACAGACCCAGCGAAATATACCCTTGCCGGTAGCTCATGTAAAGATAACGGAGAACAAGTCCTCTGTAACCCTCAATTGAGAATTGCAAGTCTATTATAAGTTGCTGACCCCCCAAAAAATACATGCATGTCTAACCCTTTTTGACTTTGTGTTTATCATCTTCTAAGAATCTGGGAACAAACTGACAGTCACTATTTCTTCGCTAGCATCTCCTTGACATAGGCATCGTGACCAATTTCAGATAACCTAGCGTCCTTTGCGTACACTTCATCCTTGAGGCTTGCTTGATATGCCTTCATTTCCTCGGCATACTCGGGGAGGTTTGTGCCAAGGATTCGAATGGCCGCAAGAGCAGCATTGGTCGAGTTGTTGATACCCACTGTCAAGCAGGGCACACCCCGCGGCATTTGCACGATTGAGTAGAGCGAGTCGACTCCATCAAGTACCGATGCCTTGACTGGGACACCAATGACCGGGAGGTGAGTCTCCGAAGCGAGCATGCCTGGGACTATAATACGTGTAGTTCATTAGCCATCTGTCTATCGAACCCGCACAGGAAGCGTGGAGTTTGAGTCAATGGCAGTACTTACGATGAGCAGCGCCACCAGCACCAGCGATGATTACTTGCACTCCACCCTTGGAAACTTCTTCGGCAAACTCGGACATGAGCTGTGGCGTCCGGTGGGCTGAGGTGATGCGGACCTCATATGGAATATTGAACTTGTCCAGGATCTTGAGACCAGCCTGCATGACGGTCAAGTCGGAGTCGGAGCCCTATAATTGAAGTCAGTCTAATGTTTGAGGAAGCTTTGAACAGAATCCAAGATATTGCATACCATGGTCACTGCCACCAATGGAACACCCTTTGCCTTTGAAGACTCAGCCGAGAACTGCTCGCCTACACGCTCTGCACGCATTTCAGCTGCAGCGTCAATCAGAGGCTTGGCTTGCTCTGCTAGCCTATGGATTGACGAGAAACCAGTAGCTGTAATATGACCAATCTTCCTGCCCGGCTTTGATTCCTTGCCGTACTGATGCAGGTATACATCCATGGAAGAGTTACCCATGGTCTGAGTGAGCTCTACCAACTTGTCATGGGAGTCTGGCTTGGCTCCACCGAGTATGTTAACCATGAGAGCAGAAGGCACCCGCGGTGCCAAAGTCAACTCTTTTGGTACCGTGTTCAACAGGGCACAGATTTGTGCCTTGTATTGTGACAGTTGAGGTACCGCCTCAATGGTGTAATGGCCCGAGTTGTGAGGTCGGGGCGCTACCCTGTTGGAAAATATTAGCTGGCTGTATCACCGCACGAGAACACCTGGCACTCCGTGGTGACTTACTCGTTGACCATGATCTGGCCATCCTTGAGCAGGAACATCTCCACGGCAAAGACACCTCTTCCCCAAAGGTTTGCAATCACGTCGCATGCTACCTTTTGGGCTCTGATCTTGACTTCATCTGCCACCTTTCTTGGGGGATAGTATACTGTGGTGCAGATGGAGTCTTCGTGAATGGTCTCCACGACGGGGTAGGGGACGACCTTGATCAAGTTGCCGTCATCATCCTCGAGCCTCATGACCATGACTGCTAGTTCCATCTAGAAATCGATCAGCGCTGCTTGATTCTCTCGAGCACAGTGACTTCTTCCTCGCAGTCATTCTACTTACGTCGAATGGAACCCACTTCTCGGCATACAAGGGCTGGTTGCCCATCTCCTTGGCTGCAATCTCAAAGTCCGCAGCATTACGGACTTTGTAGTTGCCGCGTCCATCGTACGAGCCCTTGGCGCCTTTCAACATAAAAGGCAGGCCAAATCTGGTGGCGGCCTCCTGCAGCGAGGCCTTGCGAGCCTCATCCGAGTCGGACGCAATGGCCATTTGCTGGGCCACGGGAATGCCCTTCTTGATAAAGTACTCCTTCTGCTCATACTTGTCCTGGATGAGGCGAATGGTCTTCCATGACGGGTGGACGGGGACCTTTTTCCGGTACGTCTTGCCGTCGGCACCGCGAACCTCGATACCCTGAGTGGCAATCTCCTCGAGAATGTTTGTCTCGACGTGCTCGACCTCAATGGTGAGCATATCGCAGCGCGAGGCCAACTCACGGATCTTTTCCGGGTCCTTGAAGGAGCCAGTGACATGCAGGTCATTGTGGTTGGCCTGCTTGGCGGGGCAGCCTTCAGCGTCAAGTACGGCAATCTGGACGCCGAGAGGCCCGGCCTGTTGGCAGAGCATCTGGCCCAGCTGCCCTCCACCGAGGAGACCAATAACAGGCTTTGTCATGATGGCGTGAGTTCTTCAGGTTGAGATGAGACAATGTGCAAGAGGTGCCTGTCAGGAAGAATTCGTGACCAGCTAGTGGTCGGCAATAGCAGGTGGGTTTGAGTAATTGGTGCTAGTCTGGTGTTAGATCGGCTATCCGCAATCGGCGATTGAGCGAATGATACAAGAAGTAAAATTCGGCATCTTTGATACTTGCCTGTCTTGCTGAGCTTTCGTGGTATCCTACAGTAAAAATGCCAAATTTTGTAAGTTTGTCCCGCGCTTGACTACGAATAACACGCTCAAGGCTTCCGGCCGGAATGCATCATACCCCAAAGAAAAAAAAAGTTATCTTGGAGGGGCAAGTAGAGCTTCAATTGCCGGCTTTACTTTCTATCCTAGGCAGGCGGTGAAGCCTTAGGAGCACTGGAGTTTGTACCCATGTACGGAGTACTTCTTTAGTATACTAGTACAACCATATTGCGTATGTACGGCCTGTACTTTGTCTAAAGCAATCCATTCGCTATTCGCTACGAAACAAATTGAAAGATATGTCACACTTCAGCTTGAGAGTAGGAATTCCCCCCCCCCCCCCCCCCCCCCCTCCTCGTAATCATCCACTCGAGTTTATGATCTTGGACAATGAACGGCTTTGGCATAGTTGAGGGTGGGGGCCAAATCTGCCATCTCTCACAAGTAGTGGAGACAAGTAGAAGTGATGAAAAGAAAACCGACGTCATCGGAAGTCTCAGCGTCAATCCGAAGGGAAGTGGTTTTTTTCGAGGGTCCTTTTTGCTCGCCGTCTCTCGGTGTCTGTTTAAACCCAAAATTGGGGGTTTGACGACCTAGAGTTTCAGGGGTATGGGGCTATGTCAAGTACATTACCCCCGAGAACCATAGAACGTCCCTACTCCTATTGTTCGAGTTGCCCCGCGGTCCATTCGAGAGACTAGAAATAAGCAAAGACGAACAGATACCAAAGACATGCTGGAATAAATGCATTGATGCTCGAGCAAGAGAAGACTCCAGATTCTGCCGAGAAAGAAAGGGTCTGTTCTGGTCCCTCTGTTGGTCCTCATCGCATCTTCATCTTGATTCCGTGTCAATGCTGCAGACCCACCAAGGCAGTATAAAAGACGGGAGGGACCCTTTCGGTTGGCCATGGATGCAAAGTCGTGACGGCCTGCAATATCAACCATTGATGCATGCATAGTTCACGTTCTCGAGGTACCAATGTAGATAGTTACACGTCTATATGCAACTACCTCGCATGAGGCCCGAGTGGCCAATTTCTGTACCCGATCCTGTGCCTTTTGTCTTCGGGCCATTTACAACCCACTCCCACTCTACCTTGTCTGTTCACTTTTCGAAATCCCCTGCATCGTTTGCGTGCAGGCTTATAACCCAATAGGACGATTTCGCCTCCCTCAACATTATGGGCAGACCGCCAACTCCTCGGCACTCAACAATCTGCCCGTCCAGGAATTTCCCGATTCGAACATGCAGGGGCGTCAGGTTCGGGTGAGCCAGCGAATCACACAATCGAACATCTTATCCTCCCTTACAATACGAGCAGGAGGAGCCCGAGAGAGGATTGGAGTTCGGCATCGAGATCCTTGTATCTCTGCACATTACAGCACCCAATGACATGCTACGGGTATTGTGCAATTTTGGGGAAAACGGGAAAGGTACCTTTCGTTTACCAATACTCGTGTTTTTCAATAGCCGACGCTGCTACACTCAATCATACACTCCATTTCTGGACAACTCATGACGATTATTAACATTGTCCAGAGGGCATGTAGAACACAATGGCTGATTGTATTACAGTGCTTCATATATTCCACAGTCTGTGTTCTTAACCGCGCTATTGCTATTTTCCCGGAAAGGATGCAAACATATGATATTATAGACTATCTTGGATGACAGAGTAAAATATGATACAAGGCTTACTAATTAGAGAGCAACAATTCTGCTTGGAAAAAGCGGCAACTCTCAGCTTGGTCTCAATTTTCCTGGCGGTGGCCGACCAAGGTATTTCCAAGCATCGTTACTGAATCATCAGCTTCAGTCTCTGTGCTACTTTTTCCCTTCGGTCCGGCATGACAAGACGCAAGGATGTCTGCTTAAGGGGATTGATGTGCTTGCGTTCGGCCCGTTCTGATCCTTCCATTACACGGTACCAGGAGGTGGACACGTTTCCTTCTCACGGCACACGAAGGTTTCAACATTCATATTGTGCTAGAGACGATAACTTTTATAGACTGAATTCTAAATGATCATATTACCGGATCTAATCATCATGAACTGCACCATACGCACCGTCAATATGCCTTCACTATGGAGACACCAGTCTCTCAATTTTCCGAATGATGGGGCGAAGTGCATTCTTACTCTCTCTAACACCACCTAATAATGGCCGGATGGGACGAGATGAACGGCTTCAGTATATCTTGATGAGCACCAATCTGCATATACATCACGAGATATGATCTCGAAAGAGGAGATATAAGTTTGGAAAACCGACCCAGCATCAGCAAATCCTACCGAATTAGAATTCGAAATATGCACGAAGCCAGAATGGTGAAGTATATGATTCCCCCAAGACCCAAAGTGTCAGAATCCATGACCGAACTTATGTGCATGCTACTCATGACACGAGAGTGGCCAACACAAGTACCATAGGCCTGAAGGTTTGTGATTTACTCGTATGCCAAGTTCGCATGGACGGATTTCACCAAAACCTAACATGCCATGAGGTTGTGAGCATGGCCATGTTTGGGGGTAAGGCAGCACCCGGAACTTTCTCAGGCCTTGGCCTTTGAGAAGCATATGAGAACATGGTCAAGCAGCCATACAAAGCCAACTGACCTCGTAGGCATAATTGAATACAAATAATCGACCAGATCCTCAACTTTGGGACTTTCCATTTCCCCTTCCTTGATCAAACAACCTTGCAATTCGACAAAACACTTCACATCTTTTCAAATCTGCCCATTCTCCCCCTTCTTCTTCTTCTTCTTCTTCAAGATGAGATTCCACTCTGTCCTGGGCCTTGCCCTCCTCGCCGTCCCGGCCCTCTCTGCTCCCGTCGCTCATGAAGACGAATCCCACCAGCACTATGGCGTGGCCGCACTGAGCCAGTATAACGCTACTGTCAACGGTACCTTTAAGCTTGCCCGAAGCCATGTTGGCTCCAACGAGAATACCAACAGCACTGGCAAGCGCGGAGATGACGACGACGACGACGACGACGACGATGACGATGGCGATGATGAGAGTGACGATGAGAGCGACGATGATGATGACGATGACGATGATGACGAGGACGATGACGACTTCAAGTGGCCATTGTGAGCAAACTCTCATCATTACTTTCTTATATCAACAAACACTTTTTGCCTATCATCTCGTTCCATGAATCAAGTATACTGACATTCAATCTTCCGTAGTGGTCGTCCTCCTTGGGCCCAGCCTCACGGCAGCCATGGAGGCAAGGAAGGCGAGAATGCTGGCAAGAATGGCCAGGAGAAGGGCAATCATGGAGGCAAAGAAGGCGAGGATGCTGGCAAGAACGGCCAGGAGAAGGGCAGCCAAGGCTCTGGTCAGAGCGGCCAGGGCGGACAGGACAAGTCCGGCTCGAGCTCCTCTGGTCAGAACGGTCAAGAGAAGGGTTCTCAAGGCTCCGCCGGACAAAGCGGCAAGAATGGCCAGGAGAAGGGTAGCCAGGCTTCCTCGGGCCAGAATGGCCAAAAGGAGACCGGCCAGGAATCATCCTCATCTGGTCAGAGTAGCTCCGATAAGACTGGCCAGGAGTCATCCTCCTCTGGTCAGAGCGGCTCTGAGAAGACTGGCCAGGGATCATCACCCTCTGGTCAGAGCTCCTCCGGCCAGAATGGCAAAGGAAAGGGAAGTAGCCAGAGCTCCAGTCAGGCTGGCAAGGGCCAGGCTGGCCAGAGCGGCCAGAACGCTGGCGGCTACGACCAGGAGACTGCCAGCCAAGACTGCGAAGAGAGCGACGGCCAAGCCCAAGGCAGCGAGTACAACAATGGTGGTGCCTACGAGAATGGCAAGCAGGGCGGCCAGGCTGGAAAAGAGACCCAGGCAGGCAAGCAGTCTCTGTGACACGGTCAAGCTTGATCCGAGAACTAAACATCTCCCCGAGGAAACTTCCCTCTCGAGCCCTGGTTTCCTGTGGGGTTAGAACGGTTTGAAGGAAAACTAGATTGGATAATACTTTGGAATAGGGTTATTATTGGTGTGAAGCTCAGCCTTAACTTGGTTCCCAGCAGTCGCTATGCTGGTAGATTGTCAAAAATGGAAGAACACGATCTACCGATGATTAGCTTAGCTTAATGTCCTGACAGAGGCGATCATGAAAAGGTTGAGACCACATCATTTTAGGGCAAGATAAGCAAATTTCTTTTCTTTGCAGCAATTGCCAACGTAGAGGCACCGTGTGACCTTGTACAAGCCGCGATCCTTTGCTTACTTGGTAACATCCACCGATTTGCCCTTGAGCACCGAACTCAGATTGGACTTGACCTCATCACCATCAGCACCATCCCAGCTCGACAAGATACCATCGCAACTCTTTTCAATTCGTCGAGCTTCACTCAGATCCATATCGAGAGCTTCCTCAATGTCACCTTCGAAAATGTACCGATCAAATTGCCCCAATTGTTCCACACAAGTCGAGATGTAGGAAATAGAAAGTCGAATTACCAACGTTAGTTGTCGGGTCTGGTCGCTCTCCACGATGTTCTCAAGGGGCAGGAGTAAACTCTTCGTTCTTCTGAGTTTCCTTGGTCGACCCCTCTCTTCATCCGCCTCCATGGACTTTTGGTGACGAAGTAGATATGCCCTCGGGTCTCCCATCTGTAGCGACGTCTTGATCGGCGGATTGTTCGAAATCAGATCGTCGATGCTCGGGAGTTCCGTGGAGTGCAACGGGGTGAGGTCGTTGCGAATTGTCACTTCATGTGTGCCACCTTGAGGCATGCGCAGCTGTGTCAAGTCCCCTCCACTTGACTTGTACACTCCATGCGAAATTTGAGACGGAGGATCCTGGCCCACGTTATTGAAAGAGTTTCGATCTTCTTCTCTGGCTGGAGCTACATTTTTCGAACGACATCTTCCTCCTTTCTGTTTGCTATGCGAATGTACTGGATTCTTGTATCCACCAAAAGAAATAGTACTCTGCCTCGTACCGTTCCGCTTGGTATGATTGGTTGCTGTGTAGCGGTCTTGCCACTGCTCTGGACTTTTCTGAACCGAGGAGGGTGGAGTCCACGGCGGTTGCGCCCGACGATGCGTTGAGGTGTTGCGCTTCTTGCTCAAGATCTCATTCGGATCAGAACGTGGAGCGAAGATGTCCGCAGCATTGTCTGTCAAGTCTCTTTCGAGGCTGCGATTCGATGGCAGGCGCATTCTGGGTGGAACATCAAGGTCTCTAGGCGGGGCTCCTCGATGCAACATTATTTCAGGCTCTGGTGTCGTTGTCGTGAAGGCTCTCGTATCAATATTTGCCAGTTGTAGGGCAGATATGATCCCGGGGACAGGTGCAGCATAGTGTTGCTGATTGTTGGCGACATCCAGAGGAGTCCCGTTCAAAGTCGATTCCAATTCGCGTCCGCGCCCAAATCCCACCTCTTTTTGTCCTCTCTCTGTGCCTTCTTGTTCTCTGCTAATAGTTGGAGATCTTCTTTTGGTCTCTATATTGTGCGGACGAGTCTTTCTCATATCATTTGGAGCAGCGAATCGCTCACCGAGGTCGTCAGACATACTAGTAGAGAGTACAGCCTGGTCTGAGACGATGCCTTCACTGATGACAGGGGTTTGAACTGGTCCCTTTTGGGGGGCTTTAGTATTGATTGCAGTCCAACCTGATGAAAAAATGGATGGTTCCAAGTCATTTGTTCCCGTCTCTACCCCTTTTGCGCTGGCCAAGGTCTGAGATTGGCGCAGTAGTGGTGTTTCGTGTCTGCCACCGGTTTTCAGCAAGCCGTATATCTGTTCGCAAAAATTTCCAAAGCATCGGAGAATGGCTTCCTCATCTTCGAATAGAATCTCATCCTTGGATGGGGTGATGTTGACGTCGTATGGTCCTGGATTCACAAGGTTGACGCAAAGGAAGACATCACCTACATTGAGTGCCTTCTCATCCGGACTGGGCAAAGCACTCTCGAGATACTTGTGATAGATGGGAAGCAGCTTCCGCATCGTGCCCGCAGTACCAGTAACGGGTCTTCCGTCAACAGAAAAGTAACGGTGTTTCGGAAGACGTAAAACTTCTGTGTCCGGCCGCCAGACTAAGGCGGTGATTTTGAGACTCGCAGGAGAATCGCCATCGAAAGTCTTCTCAGCACAACGTGATGCTCCTTCTTTGCCGAGGATCTGGAGTGCAGCTTCTTTCAGAGTTACGGGTCGTCTTGGTGAATAGCTCCAACTCAGATTGGCGTGCTTGTAGACCTTGAAGATCATCTTGATATGTGGCTTTGCCATGACGTAAGAGACGAGCAAATCCTTGATCTTCTCAATGGTCCTTTTGGATTCTTTCACAGCCATTTGCCGACGGACAGGAAGTTCATGGTAAAGCTGAGAAACACGCACTGTTGTGCCAATGGGTGCGGCAACTTGCTCTTGCTCGAGGACGCCTCCGTCTCCTGGACGGATGTGAAGAAGTGCAGCAACAGAGTCCGACGGCGTCTTGGTAATGATACAGACCTTGCCCAAAGTGTTTGCACCTGCGAGAGCCTCGCCACGGAATCCAAGAGTGGTGCCAGCCAAGCGCTGAAGGTCATCAAAGGTCTTGAGCTTGCTTGTATATCCGCGTCGGCCAAGACAGTCGTAGTCGTCAGGGTGAATGCCACTGCCATTGTCCCTGACCTCAATCTTGTCAATGGTATCGTGTGACACGAGTACCTCTATGGTTGTGGCCTTGGCGTCAATCGCATTGTCCAATAGTTCCTTGACCAGCGAGACCGGTGTAGTGATGGTGGAAGTAGACCCAAGAAGCCGCTTCGTTTCGTCAGGGAGGGCAGCAATAGGCATACTGATGAGATATCACAAGGTGATAACGTGCGAGCCAATTACTCTCTTGATGAATTTCATTCCACACAAATGCTACAAAAAGGATCGTGAACGTGAAAGAAATGGAAATTCATCTTGGCAAGTGCTTGGGACGATCGATGCCTACGTGTGAAGGGACATCTTGGTTGTGCCTTCCGGAATGGAAACATTACGAGATACTTCATACCTGCCCCCTCAAGCTGCCAAAAACTGTTGAATCCGATGTCTTGATTAGTACAGTCGGTACAAAGTCCCACATGCAGACCGCTATGTAGGACCTTCAATGTTGCTTGCAATTCATACATGTATGGTGAGCATCTCTTTTTCTTTCTT